AGGATACTGAGGTACTCACAATCTGAGTCATAGCTGAACAGATAGACCAACACTTTGACCCAAGTCAGGCTATCTTACACACATAAAAATACAGATCAGTATATTGTTTATAAATGTTACTGGCAGGTGATGCGCGAGTGGTGAATATTTGTTTTACATGGATGCACAGAAAACTTCAGCAGGTAGCAGAGAGAGGAAGAAACCTGACAACCAGACATATTCAGTTTCAGTTTCACTGAGGGGCCTGTGTCTGACACATAGCTGTAAAATCAGCTGAATGGACTATGTCTACAGACTCTACACACACACACACAGAGCACTGCACGCTGAGCTCTTGATGCATTAGCATCCTCAGACAAGGGTCATCCATCATGTGCCACTGTGGGGGGAGAGAGAGCGTGTGGGCGAGTGAGGGTACAGGTAAAGTCTGAATCAATGAATGGACAAGAAACCACACAGTGCAAAAGCTCATGGGTAATTTCCATCAGTGAAGACTGCTAATTGGCTGAGTGTGGGTGTCCAGGAAAACTCCCCAGCACCTTTACGTTCCTATTCCCATTTAGTTTGAGGTCTGTTTCTGTCTTGAGAACAGCTACTAACACAATGTGCCACTAAATGGGTTCGACTGCACCAATGTGTCGTATCATTACACTATACCCGAAAATGCTGGGACATGAGGTCCAGCTGCAACAGGACACATATCAGGTGTCTGTACTGATCCAAGAGTGGACAGCTATCAGTAGCATGACACAGTAAGATCCTATGATCCTATTTGCTAAGCTAAGCTAACCACGTCCTGATCAGCTCTGCGCTGAACACGGAAACTTCTCGTCTCTTGGAAAGAATTGAACAACAACACTGAGCCAGGAACCAAACATCTGAAATACTGATGATTACAACTGTTTTACTTAAATGGTCATAAACAGCTCTCCTTACTACCCATTCCAGAACACACTGCAGGTTGGGAAGGGTTTACATGCTTGAGGCACATCTCTGTGTTTGGGGGAATGCCAGTGGAGATTGTGCCTGTCTGTATACATCAGCATATATCAGTCTGTGCGGCCGATCATACATCCAACACAGCGGACAGGCACAGGGGTGGGGGAGGCAGGGGTGGGGGTCGGAAAAGGAGAGAGAGACAGAGAGGGTTTTTTTTTTTTTTTGAGGAAGGTACATTCAGGTCAATTCAATTCAAAGCCAATGTGACAAGCTAATTTTCCAGCCCGGTCATCTGAAGAGGAGGGAGGAGGTGGGGACAGAGCGAGAGCTACACAAGGAGGGAGTGTGTGTGTGTGTTAAGAAAGGAGATGTATCAAAGACGAGGGGACAGGACACACACACACCTCCATGAACCCTCCTTGCTCCGTCTCCTTCTCAAGCCAAATGCAATGCGCGCGTGTGTATGTGTGTGTGTGCGTTACAGACAAACATTTACATTACTTACTTATAGGGCTGTGCGATATGACGATATCTATCGTTTGACGATAGAACATAATTGTAAACGATGGATGTTTTTCTATCGTTTTACCGCGATATTTTGGTGAGGGAACGGCGCTTTGCACCGCGGTGAAGTTAGTTTGAAGTTGGATATTTCATTCAAAAGATGTCGAATTCAAACTTCAATCTAACTTCACCGCAGTCCGTTCTTCCACAAACATTAAAGATAATGCACGAGCCACACAACAGTATCCAGCAGTGGCAGCCATGATGTGTGTGCATCATTCAGGTAACGTTAAATGAATTGCCCACGGACAACTTAACAAAAAGTTTTCTATATCGGGATATGAATTTTTTGTCATATTTACTTTATTTTTACAACCTGTTCTTGCTGACTTTTAGTGCGACTCCCACGTTACATTCATGCTAAGCAGCTGGGCCTTCTATCCCTCTAGTTACAGTGCCGACGTCACAGTCAACAATGCAGATTGTGTACCTGCAGCCGGTTGACATTCAGCTACAACATTTAAATCGTGTGTATCAACAGATAATGACACACACGAATATGTGAGAATCTCTGTCTGTCAATAGCTTTACTTAGGAAACATCATTAATCCTTGAAGCAGGGTGTCAACTGTACATGACACACAACCAAACAGGCGTTTGCATTATGGGAGGGCAAAACCCTTCAAGACCACAGCATCCAGACTCTGTGTCACACAGTCTCCACAGCAGCATTAACAACATTAAACAAGACCAGGGCCAGTGATTAAAGCTCCTCCAGCACTGGGATTCTTCTTCTATTTCACTGACATTAAGTCATTTAGATTACAACACTCCCACCTAGTGGAGTCCACTGAAATGACATTGTAAAGTCATTTTCAAAGAGGAGTAACCAAAGCTCTTATCTTTAGTTACCCCTTGTTTTTAAAGGAGTTATATACATATAACTAACGGTAAATATTGCAAAACTAATAAAAAAACAAAAAACATCTGAAATATTCCATTAAATTTGTGTCTGACAGAAATCATTGAGCCAAATTCGGATACCATCCCTGTTATCTTTACACGCAAAACATCCATCCCCCTGCCTGTACATCGTCTAATTAAAACAAACACCTAGCTGCTGACAAAAAGAACTAATTCTTTGAAAAGTATTCCTTTCACTGATTCTTTGATACACGAAGAAGGGTCTGACTTCAGAGAGGAGGACTGTGGTGAGTTGTGATCAAAGCTGAGCTGTCATTTCACCATGCTTCAGATTAATAATGAGACATTAGCATATTTTGAGATTACTATCCCACTATCTGTTGTGTGGGCCCGTTAACCAATATTTCATCATATAGCCTACAATAATCACAGTCTCTATATCTTATTCCATTTGTTGGCACATTACACTGGACTGTCTTTGTGTGATCATTTTAACAGTTCATAAATTTAATCTTTCCACTAAATTGAAAAAGGGTACTGCTGATCTTGATATGTAAATCACTCTGTGATACGTCGACTTATGATTAGAAAAGTTTGTGTCAAACATCAGTGACCCTCTGTTAGATCAACTCTGCCTGCACTTCCACTTCTGATTTAAAAAGGTGTCAGTCTCCACAAACTAAATCTTGGGTCTTTCAACTCTATATTCTGGCCCAATGGCGCCCCCTCCTGGACAAGGAGGAGCATTCCAGGCCCACGACTGAACTGGTCTTCATCACTGCTGCTCACCACAGAAATATGGGAGACTGACAGCAAAGTGCTCAAACAGCTGCATGTCCGTTAGCCAGACAGGAGGGAGGAGTCTTTGTCAAGAAGGACTTTCTGACGTCACACTCAGAAAAGCACAGGTGGAATGAAACCAGGGTTTCAGAGTCCTGGTATTTTTCATGCAGACTCACAGTCACAGGCTGTTTTTTGGAACAGCCAACTACATACTACCAGCAACTGGAGTATACAGTTCGTACCGCATACTGCGTTTCATATTAGTATCTAGTATGAAGCGGTTAAATCGATTTATTTTGCAGTACGCAAAACTTTGTTACATTGAGACCTCACCAAAATACCATGACATAATGCAGTATAAAAATACACTTTATTGTTATAAATAGTACTTTGAACAAAAGTACAATAAAATCTTTTGATAAATAAGAGTCAAAAACTACAGAAAACATTTTACAAATATCTGATTTGTTATAAATTATGGAGTACTATTACTAATGAACATTAAATAGTGCATGTATTGAGGGGTCAGCAAAATAGAAACTATAAAAATAAACAACAACACTATACTACCAAAAAAAAAAAAAATTCGTTTTTTACCAAAAAAAAAAAATATATATATTTATTTGTCATGAAATATAAATGACCTTACATAGAATCTGCATAATTACTACTTTCTACTATGTAGCATATTCACATCTAGTTTATCCTTTTACCAGCACTGTTACTTGTAGCCAAAGCTGTTTATTTACATGTCCCCTCTCGTATCTGCACAACGATAAATCGGTCGGGCTCTACGGATAACATTTTATTCTAATTTATTCCTGTGTAAGGAGAACATCGGTAACTAACCTAACGTTAAAGCCAGCTGCATTAGTCCTTCTATCCATAACATTTTACGTTTTCCAATGACAAATATGTAATTTCACATCACATTGGGCCATTATTTTCACCATATGTCTGAACAAATAGTTGGAAAAGCTAGAGCAGATAATAAATAACCAACAGCAAAAGATCAGTCTACTGGTGAGGAACTACAACCTTTAGATTTGGGGAAAGTTGTGATGCAGGCTACACCAGTTTACTCTCAGATTGTACATGATGTTCTCAACATTGGACAAGTAGGCAGTAATAAAATACAGCTACCAGTTACTTTCTATTGAGCTAATGTTAAGTTACATAGCAGCCAAAAGACGCAGCCTGCTGTAGAAGCTTTCCCGCTCAGCTCAGTCTGAAGGGGAGGGGAGACTTTTTAGTCTTGAGAAGCCACACTGAAACCAACACCGTACATTTCCTGCCAGAATATTTTCCTCCGCTCGCGTTCACTGTCACTTTCTGCCGCTCGGACAATCAAACACTCGCTGCGCGCCTCCCGAATCAGAGTTACGCTGCTCTTATAACAGCATCTGTCACGTAGATGTTTTGTATAGAACGATGAGTGTGCGAGTGAAAACATTTGTAGCGCATAGTTTAATTATTATATGGGAAATTTTAGTAGCGGCGGCATATAGGGGAAACACTGACACCCGTAGCTTCAATCTAACACTTACTTATTTATTTTTTATAAAAGATACCACAGTTGAAACAATCTCCATTACAAGTCCTGCATTTCAAACCCTACCTGGGTAAAAGGGACACCAGTAAAGCATCTTAAACGTTCTTCCACACAGGTCTATACACTTCTTCTGGCTGATTAGGAGAGGGAGACGGATGACGTCTACACAGTCCAGAAATAAGACTAACAAGCGAAAAACACCTATATGAGCATACACATACTGAGCTGACATTATATGTAATGTGTGTACACATGCAGTAAGCATGTATGCGTCTGTGTGTTCATTGTATCTGCCTACCTGTACCAATTTGTAGAAGTAAGCGTACTGGCGTGCAGTGTTTTTATACTGGCTCAGGACGTCCTGCACCGCCTGCGTGCCCAGCAGCAGCTGCACCGCGTCCTGCTGGTAGAACAGCGGCGTGTCGTACTCCTGAGGAAGACTGCGGATGTACGGCAGCCAGGGTGAAGCAGGGTCGGCCCGCTCACACAGCAGGTGGAAGGCCAGCGTCACGTTGCCCATGGCCTGTAGGATCCGGTCCTGACTGTACAGAGGACCTGAGACGAGGAGGTTACACAGTCAGCTGCTGTCGGACACGCTGCAATTTGATCACAATGAAAGTGAAGAAATGTTCTTTAAAAAAAAAAAAACGCAAAACATTCATCCGGCTATGTTTGAGTGTGACGTAGGAGGGTGCGTCCTCGAAGGCGGCGATGGCCACAATGTTCACTAGAGATGGGAGAGTTGAGCCGATGAACTGTTTATGATCGGACCTGACGATTGGTCACATTGTTGGGAATGTGTGAAAAAGTGTGAAGGAGGTTTGTGGTATTATGATTAAGATTACATGTCCTGAACAAAACATTGAAGCAGAGAAAAACCCTGACATCCTGTCCAAAAGCAGTGTTGTTTAACAAGGAATGCAGACAAAAAGAATACCTAAAAGTTAATCATCATTTCACCTAGAGATGCTAGTTTTGCTCTGCTGGAAATGAATCACTTTGCTCCTTGGAATGACACCATTTCCTCATGTGGCCCACATGATGTTACATACTCATTAAATCAAGTCCTTACCCAATACAGAGTTCTGGGCTGACTCCACCGTCATTAGCATCTTCCTGGGAATCCACAGGAAAAGTTCCTCTGCCTACACAAACACACACACACACACACACAGTGTAAGTATTCAACACCAGCTAGCAAACAGTCTCTGCCAATCTGCTGTGACAGGTAGCAGGATTGGTACTGACGGGCAAACTTTCATTTTGAGGCTGATTCTATATTGCACTGGGAGTTCATGCTGTGATTTAAGCACTGGAGAAACTTTGACATTTTTTGCAAGTCAGAACTAAAAGTAGCACCACTGGGTCTGAGCTCACCTTGATCTCTCTGGTGGCCCGCAGGCCGTAGCCCTCCGTTCCAAAGTTGGCCACTGTGAAGCTGTCGCAGGACGCCCCGTTTTCCTGAGCCCAGGACATCAAATCTGGGAAGTGGTCCTCTCTGCTTCCCTCGAATAATATCGACATACCTGAACACACACACACACACAAAAAAACCCAATAATAATCTGTGTGTCAGTTATTTTATCCAAACTAACCCCTAAATTTAAATGATATGAAATCTAATATTGCCAATATTGCTCACTTAACATTTCTTCAGTACTGTGGGATAAATAAAAAAACTGAAAAAGGTAAAAATATTGTGTGTGTACACACACACTCACCTTTCTGTTTCTTGCGGATCTTCTCCACCAAGCCTCTGATCTGGATGTACTCCTCCCACTCTTTACCAGCAGAGGGTGCTGCACTGCTGCATTCTGGGGAAATGCACGTTGACTATAAACACCTCAACTCAAAATACGGCCAAAATCACCTTAACCACTGCATGTTCACCTAAAAATACAGGAAAGCATAACCAAACCACGACACCATACAGAGCTACTCGTTACTAAATCAGTGAGTAGAGCATGCAGAACCTTTGACGGATGTTGCACCTGTGGTGAAAGCGTAGTCAGAGTGATGAAATGTCAGCCGACTTGTCTTTTGCAGCTGATGCACAACGCGTGGACAACACCAGGGGTACTTTCTTTTAGTTTGAGAGACGGTGTGCTTTGAGCAACCAGGATCTCCATCTGCCCTCCTGCAGAAGCACCATACTAAAACACTTTCATTGTGTTCATTGTGTTGGCTTCTTCATTGCATGGACTGCGCACCATAGAGGTCATCAGTGAATAACATTGGGCACTCAGTATCCCAATAAAGAGTTTATCCTATTATTATTTGTTTTTAGCCATGTTAGGTTTTGAACATAACAGTTTGGACAAAATAGGCTATAAATGCACAGAGGTTTGGTGGTGGCTGAGTTCATGACGTTTGAAAACGTTTGGGAAGGATTTTACAATCAATGTATTCTCCATCACAGCAATGACCCCCAGACGAGCAGCAGAATTACCCTCTACAAATCATGAAACGAAGAAATCTACCCGAACTGTGAACTTAAATGTATCTGATTGGCCGACACTGCACTGCAGAGCGGCACAAGTTGACTCATGTTCAGCTGTTTTGTTCTTTGGCCCAGTCCTCTGCGTGGGTACCCCACTTGCATCACAGCAGTGACCTCAGTAAAGTGAATGAGGGGGAGTCTTACCACTGGCTACAACTACTCCCGTGTATCGTTCACTATAATTTGACATGGTGGACATTGGTGGTATTATGGTGCTATTAAAGTGTGTTTTACTGTAAGTGGAACTCCTTTACTTCTGCACATGAACCACATGTAGCACTGAGGGCAGACAGACACTCGTATGGTCACTGAGGTAATAAATCAAGTGGGAAGTAGGGTCATTTTGCAAGTCCAATGCAATCTGACTTCTTCACCTTTCACTGGCTTCCCACTTGTGTGTGCAGTAAAAATGAAGCTCACATATCGTTGTTCAGTTAGCTTTGTAAAACACATCTATTCTCTCAGAAGAAGAAGTGAGGAACTGGACTTTACTCATCTCAACATTCCATACATTCTCCCAGTCGTCTACGTCCCAACATGCCTTTAAAACAAATACTGCGTATGCATACATTCATGTGAGTTACTGTCCGGACAACTGTTACCACTGGAATGTGGAGTGAGTGTGGGGGTGAAAGAGACCGCCCCAGGTCAGGAGGACTGTGAAGGTAAACGTACTCTGCAGCAGTTCAGAGATGAGGTTCATCATCTCCTTGGGGGAAACCACAGCGCTGGCTCCTGAGCCCGACTTCTGAGTCTTCACTCGACTCTTCTTTCCCATGGTGCTGGATGGACGTCTGGGCTGAGAAGACACACCATTATCACTGTTAGCATTCCACACTATACTGTAAATCATGCATACTGTGTGAAGCTCTCTGAAACTCAACCAATCATATAGAGAAAGAGACTTGATCATGTGTTTCATTAACGTTACAGCATGTTTAAAACGGACAAAGCGGTTGAAGAAGTGGTTCCTCTTCTATGGCCACACAGAAAAGTAAACTCCACTCAAAGACAAAGCAGACAGAAAACCTGCCTGACTAACTGCCGGGAACCGCACTTCACCTTTTTCACTGCTCTCAGGTTTTCTACAAAGAGGTCAGAGACCTTTTCTGTCTCGAGGTTTCTCCCAATAAGTTGGTTTCCAGAATAATCTTGAATACTTTGAGTAGAAAACCCCAATACATATCCTATACCAGGCAGCACTGTGTCTGTGAGACATCAACCTGACCAATAATGTTTGACACAGACAGTGGAGCAGCTGTGCAGTGGAAAATGTTGATAAAAGCCGGAGGGAAATAAACATATTGTTTGAGCAGAATAGAAAAGTAAACAAACAGTGATAGACAAATTACTGGGGCCAATATCTGGCATTTTTCTTTCATTGGCATCAGCCGATACTTGACCTCATGAGTAGGGATTCACGAGAACAGATACTTTGGTACCAACTCAATACCAAAATTCAGAAAACATGACGGCCCTGCAGCTGCAGCAAAAGATCCGCCTCAAGACGTTGAACAGAAAGGGAGTAATAATACTTTTGCAAAACACAGTCTCTATACGGTGCCATCAAACTATTCAGACTAAAGGATTAAACACTTTCAGCTTAGCAAGCACCTCAGACAAACATCCAGACTGAGTGAGTTTAAATTCACGTTACATTAACAACACATCCAAAACGCTACCTTTATATCCTTAAATACACGTTACTATTCTTTATGTTTGAGACAGCTGGCATTGCTATGTGGCCGAGCAAACCATGTTCCATATGACGTTAGCAGTGGCTAAACGCTAAAAGCTTCTTTGTTTAGGCTAACATAATGTAACCATAGCTCGTAGTAGTTGGCTACTGTCCTTACCATTCAGTCTGAAAACAAGAAAGAAATCAAATTGTTAAGACAAAACTATGTTTGATACACATTAATTCAATAGGATAGTTGATTTCTCATCTATATATATATATATATATATATATATATATATATATATATATATATATTTAATATTCACATGTCATCAAAACATAACATTAGCGTTTCAAATACATATTTCCCCAGCTGTTTTCTTCTTACAGACATTGAGCTGATAACTGAAAATCTCATCATTTTCCTTTCACAAATCCTTTTTATTTATTAGCCTACTTGAAGACAGAAATTCAATTGTGTTCTGTTGGGAGAGGCAGTGGTTTAAACCAAAGTACAGACCAGGTAAAGCAATGCTTAACATTCCTGGTTTAGTACAAATATAAGTAATATGTAATTTGTTAGTGCTGTAAAAATGCCATAGGCTGAAGCTTATAATGGTGACTAGCAAGTTAGAGCAGTGACAGCCTGGAGGAGAGTTATGTTATCGTAGATGATCATTCACACACACACACACACACACACACACACAAACACGCCCTCTCCCAAGATGGACAGACAGGAAAATGATGTGGTGTGTACAGAGCAGACAAACAGAACAACAACAGAACACCGGTCGGCAGGCAGTCCAACACATGAATCCCAAACTAATTGTATAGATTGCACCAGATGTAAGTGAATGTTTTATCAAATTTGAGTGAAGTACTCCTGTATGAAAAAAAAAAAATGCTTTGTCACAGTACTATCTGAGACATAGACTACAACAAGATGGATCTTGGTTCTCTGAAAACTGAGCACTGACTGATCCTCTAAAGTTCCTAACAATTTACAGTTTCATACAATAAAATCTTTCTTATCTTTTCATAAATAGTTCACCTAGCAAATACTATGGCTGAATGTTTATTTTGCTTTTAGCAACACATGCATCCTGTGTCTGTCTGGCTCCTCAACATGTTGTCAGGCCAAAGAACCATCAGTGTCACAGTGAAACGTCTTCTCAAAGTGCCAGCCTGATATTTCATTCTGAAGAGTAAATTTGCAGTGTTAGGCCTATGGCTTAAAAAAGGATACCTTTAAATAGACCAAGTCTCAAAGTGCGGTTTACATGGACCAATTAAATTTCCAACAGGCCTTAGCATAACTAATATGATGGACTTCCATTTTTCATGCTTCCATGTTGGAAGGCCGCCTCACCAGCATAATACATAGTTACTGACGTTACAACAGCAACCCATGCAGACAGGCTGGTCATGTCTGGACACACATATCCCATCTGATCACTTGTAAATAACACAGCAGACAGTATGGACGATCTGTGTTGAGAAACAAATCTGATTTAGCTGCAGTTTGCATAAAGTCTTAGAATTGTGTTTCTGGCCACCTGATGAAACAAAGCCCAAAATTCATTTTCACCCTCTTTTTAGCTCTGTTTTTGGTCTCCACCAACTCCTGAAGTTAGAAACACCCAGCTCTTTAGCTGCTCAATGCTCCACTATGTTCATGAGCTCGTTGCTAACTTTGTCTCTCAGCTGTTGGCTGGGGGTTTATCAAAATCTTTCAACTGAAAACAGCTTTCCATTGTTGGAAATGAGATGGATGAGAGCAGAGTGTATGTGACAGAAAAACAAAACAAAGAGCTAAAAGAGGCTAAAAGGCTTCACAGAGATAAGGAAAATTGCAGATGTGGGTTATAAATCTTCATGGTTCATTACCACTAGTGACCCCTTTAAGATTACACGCAGTCATTTGATCCATTCTTAACATGGAAATACTGAGTATTGCAGCTTTAATGTTTTTATTCTAACAGTATGTTCTCCACTGAATAATAGCTTGAAAACTAATTAAAACTCTGGTAGTACGGTTTAGCTGCACTTTAGAAGGTTATCAGTGACTCCAAGTGAGAACCAGCTTTTCTGAAACCTTTGAAATCAGTGAGCTATATTCAAAGTCCAAACTGTTTCTTCCAAATGCATCTCTGATTGACATCAAGCAGAAATACCCACAAGAAACAAACTAAACCCACTAAAATAGAGCTCGCTGGCTTCAGCTGCCCCTAGGCTCCTGACACAGTTACCGTAGCAGCGTGGTTTGTCACGAACACGTCTTTCATGTAGCTAACGTTACATCTCAGCGACCTGAACACTCAAATGAATCCGTTTGAACAATGAACACTTTCTACATCTTTTTAGTGTAGCAAAGGGGGTGTCGTTTTTTTTAATGGTAAACATAACACAAGTGGGGTATTAGCAAGGTTTTATCCTCCAACCAAGTACAAGCTGACACGCCACTACTAACCTTAACAACCGTTAGCCCCTCGGGTTATTTGTAGCCTTCCCCACTAGGCCAGCAGCTAACTTTAGCTTACTAGCACTGAGGAATCACGCCCATCAGAGCAGAGCTGTAATTGGAGCGGGGCTGGGGTAACGCACCCTGCTCATTCATCTACACTGGCTGCACTGAGTAAACGTTACCAGGCTAGCTGTTAGCTGCTAAGCTGTCAAGTGATAGAGGATCAGGCTGAGTTTTAGAAGAGGCTAATCTGCTGGATTGGCAGGCTCGTTATCCTTGTCTGCTAAAATACAACTGCCTCTACAGCACATGCGCGCATTCATATATATAACGAGCAACGCCAAGTCAGAACTTTCCTGAACAAAACCATAAGGCTTTTTCTGCGGTTCAGTCATACCTTTTTAAGTGACAGCAGCAGTTCCTGTGTCCCTGCACTGAAACCAACCTTGACAGAGAAGCGCGTGTGATTGGGGCAGTCCTGAAATACGCCCTCGAAAACAACCCTGGATTCTGACACTCTGATTGGTTGTTGGGCAGCACGCTCGCTGAGCGAAACTGCTGATTTATGTAAATTTAACATTTTCCCGTCCCACCGCGCCTTGCAATTGGACGCTTACCTTTAAAAAGACCATAAATGGTAAGGTTTGCGCCACAGTGATTGGTTGAAAGACATGTCCATCCTGAATGTGGCCCTGCTGTAGTTCTGTGGTCTTTGTTTGGATGCAGTGTGTGCAACTGGAGTGCACGAGTGCCGCTACAGCGGACTTAGCATTTTTAACTTTTTATACATGAATGGAAATCCACTCGTAGATATTTGACATATGCTAATTACGGAGTAAAAGCAGCAGTACTTAGGCCAAACGCACTGTGTCGCGGTTTTGAGTAACTGTTTTTGTCACTTCCATTGCTGTACAGTAACGTTATCGTTAGATGTAATAGTAACGTTAGCTAATTTAGCAGCATCTCTCGTTCGCCGCCTGACTGGAACAGGTGCCAGCTGGTTAAATGCAGCTGTCTTCGACACAATACAACAAGAACATTCAACTCTAGCCTCCAGTCCTGCTGCTAGCGGGACTAAAAGGACTGTCCACCCTGGACCTCATCAAACCCCTCTTGCTCTGGGACAGGAAGGACCCGGCGACGCAGGACCACATCAAACCATGCTGGTACTGGGACAAAAAGGACTTGGCCCACACTCCATCCCAGTCAGAGGGTCTGGACCCTGCCACTGAGGCCCGGTACCGCAGAGAGGGGGCTCGGTTCATCTTTGACGTGGGCACACGGCTTGGGCTGTATCCTTATGTGGGAAACCTAATGGCTAACATACAGGGAGCCTACTAGCTAAGTTACACCCCTTACATGAGCGATGCTGGTTGCTTACTTAAAGTCGTGACCGTCACCTGGTAAACAAGCTCACACATAAAACATACATTTCCTTCTATGGTTCATGTGACTCAGCTTCAGGCTATAGGCTACATAGTCTTCAATATATATACAGGAGAAATGTATGTGAATGTAATGTAATGTTATACTGCAGCTACTGTCACCAGTAATTCTAACCACAGGCAAAGAAAGACTAATATAATTTAAAGTCTAGCAAGAGCTGCAGACAGTAATAATATGCTGTTTATAGCTCACACTGATTGATAAATAACCACTGTCTACAGTGTTCCCAGTCTTCTTAACCTCTGCGGCTACAGGCACTATGACACCCTGGCTACTGGAATTGTTTACTTCCACCGCTTCTACATGTTCCACTCCTTCAAGCAGTTTCCTAGATATGTAAGTATGGAGTTCTTTATCAGAATCAGCTTTACCCGCCAGGTATGTATACACATGTAAGGAATTTGACTCAGGATTATACATTGGTCACGATGCGCTTACTTATACAATAACACAATAATAAAATCAGACACAGGCTACAGTATAGAGACATAAACAATATAGACATACTGACAAATAGGTCAGTGAGCGGAGTGCAAATGATGCAGGAGTAAATAATTATCACCATTATTATTATTATCATTATGTACATGTCAGGTGGATGAGATATACACATACGCATACATGTGCAATGGATCACAGTGCAGAGGATGCTGGAATAAATAAGTATTATGTGCAGGTGTTATGTACTTAAGAGGTAGGTGGATTTAGTATACAGTATATACAGTATGAACAGTTCTGAAATAGAAAATGATGAATAAATAACAAGTGGTAACCAGTAAACAGGTGGCTGATTAGAGACATAGTTATACATGTCAAGTGTCGCAGAAATGATATTCCTGGTGAGGGATTGAGCAAATAATTGAGTTACAACAAACCTTTTGTCTTTGAAGAATTTATTAACAAAAGAGAATAAACGGAGAAGTACTACAACATAAATCAGCTGGGCCAGAGGTTCTGTCTCCTAAGACAGTCACTAATGTCTGGCCCCGAGCAAAGGGATGCATCATCATTTACACAGTGTAGGTTTCTGTGTTTGAGATGAGATCCTCTCTCAGCCTTGACTGCACATTCAAGGAGAGGAGAGGAACAACAAGAGGGGGAGAACACCAAAACAATCTCACAGCTCTGACCTAAACCCTAGTAAATGTGGACAGACTAACATCAGGAGTATAGGAGAGAAAAGGTTAAGGATAAAAACACAATCCATTTATATATCTATAAGCCATAACAATAATAGTAATAATAACAGTAGTAATAATAATAATATTAAAAGATCATACATAAAAGATTAAATGTACGAGGACACAATTTTCTGCTATAACGTCAGGCTTTTCAGATCTGTGTGTACTATCATTTAGCTGGTGCATGATAACACCCAACCGGTCCACTGTGATGTATGGCAACACTAAGGCGTTTCACAAAGCCATCAGCGCATCTTAAACCCTTTTGCACAGTAAAGATACATTCAGATTTAAGCTTTTAATGCTTCTGAGAAATACTGGATTAGGAAAGAACAGCAATAATGAACTGCTGTACTGTGTTTTGGAAGCACTAGACACAACCCTTACTAGGATAGATACCTCAGCTGACTCCTCTAATCTGTGTCATATTATTAAATCTCCCTTTTGCTCCTAACCTGGTGCATGTACCTGTAGGTGACAGGAGGATGCTGCCTTTTCCTAGCTGGCAAAGTGGAGGAAACTCCAAAGAAGTGCAAAGACATCATCAAGACAGCTCGCAGCCTGCTCAACGACATCCAGTTTGCACAGTTTGGCGATGATCCCAAGGTCTGTAGCACGAAATCCTTCCTCCAGAACATGACTAGTTATGTACAGCTGTCAGGAGTGTCTCAATATCACTGTCCATGGCGCTGGAAAAACTCATGTTGGAGCAATTTGGTAATTTAACTGTCTTCAAGCCACGTTGTATGTAAAAATGACCCAACAAAACAACTCAATGAATGTATTTGCTTGAATGATAAGAAATGAAAATACCATGGCTACCCTCAAATGTAGCAGTGATAGGTCCTTCACACACACAGGAACATAAAAGGGAAGATGGTGATGATGCAAAAAATAAAAAATCTTGTTCTCAACATTCTAGGGTGCGCTGACAAATATGGAAATTTGAAGAGTGCAAGAGATGCACAAAACCGGCCTGTTCGGAGCACATTAACAAGTTAAATGGGGAAGTCTCTTCTCTCCTGGGCTTTGCTTTCTCTTGGTCTTGGTTATTTAGCCTTGGCAAGACTGCACAGAGCAGATCGAACCGGCGGGCAGGAAGTCAGACACAGAAAGGGGCATAGAGAGTCTGTTTTCAAAATAAAACACCCTGTGCAAACTTTTGATCGTATATCAACAATAAACACAATTTAAAAAGACAAAAAAAGAAACCATTTAGCCACGTAGCCTACTTATGTGTGGTAGAAGCACAAAAATCAGGAAGAATAACCAAATCATCAAAATCAGGCAGGCAAAACATTCTGCTTCTAAAATGCTCCTTGTAGGGGATGAAGCCACGCAGAGGACAGAACAAAACCGGGTCACAGACGTGATGTTATAGAGCCGTGCCCGGTGGAATCCAGGGGTAAGCCTTATACATGCGGTAGGAAGTGCTCATTTCAACACAAAAGCAATGATCATCTTAACAACAGACAGCCTCTCCTTCAAGCTTCTTCAACCGGCACACTGTATCCATCTATGGAATTCTGGCTTGGATCTTCTCATAAAGTCTGTCATCATTGAAGAATCCTTTTCCTAACAGGAGGAGGTGATGGTGTTGGAGCGCATCCTGCTGCAGACCATCAAGTTTGACCTGCAGGTGGAGCATCCCTACCAGTTCCTGCTGCGCTATGCCAAGCAACTCAAAGGTACCTCTGTTTCTCTTTGTCTGTTTCTGGGGCGTAACTTCGGCAATGACAAATAGATTGAGGAAAAATAGTGAGTAAATAAATATACTTGAGACCTTGAATGTAATGCGCCCACATTAATTAGTTTGTGCATAGGGGTCATTTACACTGGGGACGCAGGGGACTTGTCCCCACCACTTGTTCCCCTCATATTTCTAAATCTACGTTTAGTCCCCCCCACTTTTCTCAGGCCCTTTCGGAGTCGCCTCATAGCCGAGACGGTTTACTATGAGTGACTAGTCAATCAATCACTCACTCAGCATCAGACATAGGCTAAATAAACGACTGAAACGTGGACAAAAATCAATCTAGAAAACATGCGACAGAAGGCAAAGGTGGTGGTGCGTAAAAGTTAAGGGAGGGAAAAAAAAGAATTCGCTTGAGGCTGGTGCAGCCACGCCCCTCATTATTAGGCCACAGACCTTTCTTTTTTGCTGCTGTTATAGCCTACTTGAAGACAGTAGGTCTACTGGGGACGCCAGCAGCAGGGGTGGGTAGTAACTTGTTATAAGCAGCCTAACACAAATTTGCTAAATAAATAAAATAAAATAAGTCATTGGCACCTTTTCAGGTTCCTTTTTAAAACTGTAGCCTACTTTTACTCTTTACTCTGTATTTTCTTTGGGCCAGTAATCTACATTCATACCTTCATAACTTAACCAGTCTGTAATCAGCATTTTGCCTCATTAACCGAAATGAGCTGTCATCCAGACTGTGCACAGTTACTCAGATCAGCCCTGGTGTCGGGTGCTTACCACAGTCACAGAGCTGGGCAGATGCAAACTTTTAGAAAATCAGGCAAACACCATTTCAGTTTAAGGCTTTATTGTTCTACTAATACAACTGAAATCCAGTGAGCGCACACCATGGCACTGGTGGCCTGTTGGAAAGCAGCCTGCATCGCTCTTTAACAAGCAGGTGAAATACTTTCACTTTCCAAGCGTATTTTGTCCCTGCAGAGCAAATGTAGACTTCACACTGTAACATCTAAGTCTGATGATCACTGGATGGATTCTTATATAGCAACAGTAGTGAAAAGAGCATCGCTTTCTTTTTCACATTGGTTATTATTTGTTTTATAGCAATGTCCGAGGGTGAGTCCATAAACAGAATGCTGCAGGTGAAACAAATTTTGGCTTTCATTCAGCAGCTACCAGCTGTTATTTATTCACCAAACAATCATTTTTGAGATGCACAGAGAGAGAAAATATGGGTGGATAGAACAATCCTGTTGGTCTTTACGCGTGATGCACAGCTTCCTCTGTATGTAGGCTGACGCTGCTTCAACAACGTTACTGCCACAATAATTCTTTGTGTTGTTAAGATTATATAGATGGTTTAGGAATACTGCAAAGCAAGTGGTTTGGTTGGCCACATAATAAAGTCCATAATAAAAGAGACAAGCAAAAATAGTGGCTAGGCAGCAAACGGGATATTTTAAAGTAATCTTATCAATACATTCATGGAGATTTAAAAAGGACTTACAGAATAATCAACAAGCAAAGCAAATTGCATTCCCTAGAAATAACCTGTTGCACAATAGATGAAATGTATATTTAAATATATAGTAATTATAGTAGTACTTTTTCTTGAGTAAAGATTTTGAGTATTCTACCCGCCACTGGCCAGCGGCAAGTACTAGCTCTGATATGGTGAACATGTGATAGGCAGCATTAGGGAAACAGAAAAACAGAGTCAAAGCCCGCAGAGTCCAAAGCACCAGTTTATGGTAAGATTGATGATGATATGGCTTATTTATTTATTGTATTCAAGGGCTGAGTTATTTTCTTTACTTTAGGAGAGTTAAAGAGGGGTTTCTAGTAATAGTATTTTAAAGGCTCTTTCATTCTCAAGAATGCAGGAGTGTTTGCCCCTGTCTGTGACCATCCTTGGCCTTAAAAACCTGTTACGTGTCCATAAACAGTTTAAAAGTAGCCAAAATTGTCACACAGAGACGAGCATCCTACAGCATTTTAAGAGGAAGAGGACAGAGGTCACAGGAGTAGGAGTAGAAATAACTGAGGGGGACGAGCTTGCAAGTTGTATGGACAGCTACTAAAACATAGTAAATTCTAAAACCCGCGTAGTAAAAAGACTTTCTTAGTCCAACGGCAGGTCATCAGAGTTTGCATTGAAGACAGTTCTGTGTTCACAAATGTGTTGCAGAGAGAGTCGGGGCCAAGTGAGACACAGGAAATATCACAGACCGCTCACAAGTGTAACGTTAGGATAACTGAATACATTTGTACTGTGGCTAGCTACATTGCTACGAACCTCACGAAAAATAAAGAATGTGGAGCTGATAGAGAAACTACTGCTTTTTTTTCAGGTGACAAGAACAAGGTGCAGAAGCTAGTCCAGATGGCCTGGACTTTTGTGAATGACAGGTATTTTTGCCTGAAATAGGGATTTTGAGGTTGACCACAGTAACAACATTTTATGCCAATATTCGGTTTATTTACTATCTACCGTATTTTAATGTTTATAAAGTATGTCATTTTGTTACCCACAGATTTTAATTCCTGTCACAGTGAAAACTAAAATAATGAATAACAGATCTGTGTGGCACAGTAACCTCACCTAAAGTGTGAACTCTGGTTGGCTTCTGCTACAGCTCTGTGGAATTTCTATATTTGCCAGGTGTTTAGCAGATTGACAGATGTGAGCTAAGGAAATCTTAATAACAATAATACTATCCACTGTGTTCCTCCCAAGCCTTTGCACCATGGTGGCCCTGCAGTGGGAGCCGCAGATCATTGCCGTGGCTGTCATGTATCTGGCTGGACGTCTCTGCAAGTTCGACATCCAGGAATGGACCTCCAAGCAGTCGTCCCGGCGCTGGTGGGAGCAGTTTGTCCATGATGTGCCTGTGGAAGTGCTGGAAGGTAATGGGAGTACCGCCACACTGTTCAGAGTATGTTTGGTTTACATGCTTCTCTAATCTACCTTTTCTCTTGATGGCTTCATTTCTCCTGTTCTCACACAGATATCTGCCACCAGATCCTGGACTTGTATTCTCAGGCTAAGCAGCAGATACCTGATGCAGGGATAGGGACTGGGGAAAACCCCCCGCTACCTTCTATACTGTCACCCTCAGCCACACCGCCAGCCAAGAAGGCCTCCCCTCAGACCAGCCCTAGACCACCCAGACCAGCCCAGGTGAGTGGACTCAACCTCCTATAAGTGTGTGTTGGATCTCATTTTATAAATTAAATTGTCTGACTCTGATACTACATGTGTTTTTTTTTTTTAGCCCTCTCCCAAAGATGACAGCAAGGTCACTAGTAAGTAAAACTCCTGCATAGCTAGCAGATTGTAAACGAACTGATGGACTCGCAACGGAGTTTCAGTTCATTAATCCGTTTACTGTCATCTTTACATTGGTTTTCTTTATCAGTGGCTTCTTTGTCTTTGATTGGATTTTTTTTCTTTTTCAGAGCTCACAAATCTAGAACCTCCTCCGCCTCCTCCTCCACCCCCACCTCCTCCTCCAGTCTCCATAAACCCAGGTCAGTGTCTTAACTCCAAAAAATTCCATCAGATTGTAGCTTTTATAGTCTAATACACTCAGAATCTCAAAAAAGGAAATGTTATTACACATTTTCCTTATAAAACGGAAAAATACAACCATGCAACTTTTGATTTCAGGTTTCTCTCTTTGATCAAACGAATTGTGTTCATCATAAACAACTCACTCACCTGGTTAGTCTTTCTACTATTCCAACAATCGCCAACTGGTTTGGTGGAAATAAACCCTTAATTCAGCTAGTTAGATAATAACACTAATAATATTAAACTTGATTTACTGTAGATAGCCCCTTTCCTACAAGACATGGCACTCCATGTGCTTCACATAAAAAAGACACAGAATGAGCATTAATAACAGGGATAGCATGCTATAATGTAAAGTAAAATGGAGAATAACACCTGCTTGATGATAATATTTAAAAATAAGGTAAAAACTGTCTAACATAAGGTGAACAGAACAATAAAACCCACTGAATTATAATACATTGAAAAGAGTGATGCAAAAACTGTAGTGCCCTTATCAGTAGAGTCATAGGTAGTTAAAGGCTAAAGTGAAGAGAAAAGCTTTAGCTTTCATGTTTAGCCAGCTGGCTTCCCTGATATCTACGGGTCATGTGTTTCATAGCTTTGGGGTGTAATTGACAAAGCTGCATCCCTGATTTTCTTCCTGCTGTTTCTGGACATCTCCCATAAACCAGTAGAGGGCGATCACAGTGTTCTTGAAGGCAATTAGGTTTGTAGTTGGCGAACTGTCTGAGCCCCCTCTTCACTGGTCAACCGCTTTGATCTCCGAAGATGTGGAAGCCTGCCAGCCGCGGCGCAGAGTCAGGTATCAGTCCACACAGCCCCGTCTCCGTGAAACATAAAACAGGAGAGAAATAAACGTCCCCTCCAGTAGCTGAAGTTCATCCAGTTTGTTGCGCAGTGAGCACATGCTATAGAGAAATATTCTTGGTAACTAACTAACACACTAACTAATGAGCAGAGTGTGTCAGAAGCCTGCAGCTGTTTTTCATGTTGCTTTCTGTTAAAATTTTGTTATAATGTTACCACAGCACAGTGGTTAGTTGTGGACAGCCAATCGGCTCCACACCGTGGCGCGCGCGTGTTGCTGCCGCATGTAAATTGACTTGATATACCCTCACCTAAAGGATTATTAGGAACACCTGTTCAATTTCTCATTAATGCAATTATCTAATCAACCAATCACATGGCAGTTGCTTCAATGCATTTAGGGGTGTGGTCCTGGTCAAGACAATCTCCTGAACTCCAAACTGAATGTCAGAATGGGAAAGAAAGGTGATTTAAGCAATTTTGAGCGTGGCATGGTTGTTGGTGCCAGACGGGCCGGTCTGAGTATTTCACAATCTGCTCAGTTACTGGGATTTTCACGCACAACCATTTCTAGGGTTTACAAAGAACGGTGTGAAAAGGGAAAAACATCCAGTATGCGGCAGTCCTGTGGGCGAAAATGCCTCGTTGATGCTAGAGGTCAGAGGAATATGGGCCGACCGATTCAAGCTGATAGAAGAGCAACTTTGACTGAAATAACCACTCGTTACAACCGAGGTATGCGGCAAAGCATTTGTGAAGCCACAGCACGCACAACCTTGAGGCGGATGGGCTACAACAGCAGAAGACCCCACCGGGTACCACTCATCTCCACTACAAATAGGAAAAAGAGGCTACAATTTGCAAGAGCTCACCAAAATTGGACAGTTGAAGACTGGAAAAATGTTGCCTGGTCTAATGAGTCTCGATTTCTGTTGAGACATTCAGATGGTAGAGTCAGAATTTGGCGTAAACAGAATGAGAACATGGATCCATCATGCCTTGTTACCACTGTGCAGGCTGGTGGTGGTGGTGTAATGGTGTGGGGGATGTTTTCTTGGCACACTTTAGGCCCCTTAGTGCCAATTGGGCATGGTTTAAATGCCACGGCCTACCTGAGCATTGTTTCTGGCCATGTCCATCCCTTTATGGCCACCATGTACCCATCCTCTGATGGCTACTTCCAGCAGGATATTGCACCATGTCACAAAGCTCCAATCATTTCAAATTGGTTTCTTGAACATGACAATGAGTTCACTGTACTAAAATGGCCCCCACAGTCACCAGATCTCAACCCAATAGAGCATCTTTGGGATGTGGTGGAACGGGAGCTTCGTGCCCTGGATGTGCATCCCACAAATCTCCATCAACTTCAAGATGCTATCCATCAATGTGGGCCAACATTTCTAAAGAATGCTTTCAGCACCTTGTTGAATCAATGCCACGTAGAATTAAGGCAGTTCTGAAGGCGAAAGGGGGTCAAGCACAGTATTAGTATGGTGTTCCTAATAATCCTTTAGGTGAGTGTATGTGCCCTGAAGGTAATGATCGCTACGTGTGAAAACGACACGGTCAAACTACAAAAAGGAGTTTGCTTGGCAATGTTGTTGACTAGCACCCAGCAGCTAGCTTGTTCAGACCATAAAGCTGCCGTTAGCGGCTCGCTGTGCAGTGAGGTGACAGACACTCTTACTCTGCTATATGGCGCCAAATTACTTCATTGATGAAAGATTAGATAATACCGCGTACCACACTGTTGAGTCATAACTTATTGCCGCGGTGGAAATTACTTCACCGCGTTTGATTTCACAGCATTGAAATAAATCTGCAAGTGTTGTTTCCTTGATGTTCATGAGCTCTTATCTGGTGAGAGAGAACAGCAGAATTTACGTTGTAGTCTAGCAGTCAAGCCGTTTCCAACATACAGTATCTCACAGAAGTGATCCCTCACATTTTAGTAAATATTTGATTCTATCTTTTCATGTGACAACACTGAAGAAATAACACTTTGCTACAATGTAAAGTAGTGAGTGTGCAGCATATAGAACAGTGTAAATTTGCTGTCCCCTCAAAATAACACATCACACAGCCATTAATGTCTAAACCGCTGGCAACAAAAGTGAGTACACCCCTAAATTGGGCCCCAAGTGTCAATATTTTGTGTGGCCACCGTTATTTTCCAGCACTGCCTGAAGCCTCTTGGGCACGGTTCACTTCTTCACAGGTTGCCACTGGACTAATTCTTCCACAGTTTGTACAAAGGTTTTCTTGGATCAACATTCACTGGATCTTTCTTTTCTCCCATAGACCACAAACCCCCTTCCTCCTTCCCACCAGCCCTAGATCTTCCATCTAAACCCCCTCCCCCACCTTTACCCCACTGCCCACCTCCACCACCTCCTCTGCCCAAGGACCTCCCCACCTCTAGCTCCCTGGTTTCCAGCGAAGGCTACCAGAAGCTCCAGTCCATGATGAAGACAGAGGGCTCCTGTTACACTACTGTACCTCAGGCCTGTGCCCCACAGCTGGGCTACCACCACTACCCCCCAGGCACCACGCCCTACCACACTCCCCCACTCTCAGCCTATAGTTACCTGCTGGCACCTCCGCCCCCTTCAGTCATGGGGATGCCTCCTAGTTTGAGTAGTGGGTACCCACCACCAGCAACTGCTGGACACAATCAGCTACCCCCTCCACTGCCACCTGGGATGCACCCAGTCAGCGGGCTGAGTCGGGGTACATGGATGAGATGAGTACCACGAAGACGGCAACGGGTTCCGATAAGTTCTGATGGAATGTTTTAAAATCATTCTGATTGATAAGAAATCAACACAGTAGGCAACTTTGATGGTCTGAACATTTTCACCTTTTCAGTATTCTCAGTTCTTCAAAAAGTCTTCATTACATGATATGGAGGATATGGAGCAGATTCATGCCAATATTCTAAAACTGTATCTTGACACTAAGACTTCATGTTGGTTTTACTTGACTTGGCAGGAGACACACGGAGGATTGTAACATGAATGTCTTCCTCTTCTTTTTTTGCACAACACATTATGTGATATTTTAAAGTAAACAGCATTCATATCTGTTTTAACTCCTGCTCAGATAATCTGTGATTGCCTCATGTCCTGTTTAAATATTGATGATGAACACTATGTTGTTATTTTGCTATGTGGGAGCAGTAATCCTCTCATTTTTCAGGTTGGATATTGTTCTGAGTATGACATTTTTGGTGTTTAATAGCCCATATCTGAGGATGAGTTTCAAACTGTTATCTTGTAGCCTATTAAAGAGAGCACTGTAAAAGGCAGCTTTTATCACCAGTTTGATGTTGTTCAGCTCATTGTGTTTTTTTTCTCTGGATAGCGCTTTGCATTGAAGAACCATCAACAACTGGGCTAGTTCAATTCACACAGAAATGTCCCATTTGTCTACTTTTATTGAACTACTTTATAATGGCATTGTTTTGAATTTGTTTTTATTTATAAAGAAACCTCTTTCAGGAGCTTACAGTAGGTTGGCATCAACCAAAGTCGGTTTGTATATAAACATTTAATGTTGTGAATACATAAGCACACCCTTCCAAAAATGCTTTGGATGTTTGTTTTTTTTACTGTAAGAATAAAATAAAGCATTAAGATAAGAAGTGTGTGTAGCTAATTACATTCTTTTAATAATTTGTCTATTAATGTAGTATTACATTCTCTAATAATACGTTGTATAATTACTATAATAATAATTACAATGGTCTAAAGATCTCTAATGAATCTGTACCTATGTATATATCGTTTGAGTGTTGATCTATTTGACATACAGCAGGTAGGTTTATTTGCTCAGAGATTAACAGCACATTTTGTGTGACGTATCCCCACGACTAAAAAGGGTTCTTTTGTGGCATCAACTGTGACGTTACAAATGTGTTCTTTTGAACTGATTCTAAACTGGATTGTATTTATTTATTTATTATTATTTATCTCGATTTGATATCTTGATTCATCTTGATTTTTTATTTAGATTTATTTAACATCAATAATTATAGACATGTGGTTATTGGTATAATTTCTTGCTATACAAAACATAGCAATCCTGGAATTGGTGATGTTCAGGCTTGGATTTATTACTTATAATTATATAATTTGACTTATCTGCTTGTTTGCATACTATTTTCCGCACACAAAGGGTAGTTGATAGACTGTCCTTTGCTACTGGCTTATAATAGCTGTTAATTATAATTAATAATTAATATAACTATACTTAAACCAAGGATCATCCTCCCAACAATATGTAATCATCATTCGTTTCCTCCAAGAGACAAATATGTGGATATATTTTATTACCAAATCATAATTAATAATCTCACTACATGAGTTAATCGACAGTCTCTCTACGTGAGCTCCCTCGTAACTGCAGAAGTACCCTCTGTGGCCTTCTGAAGTTCAGACTCAGCTGACACTTGACACATGTCAGAATCAGGTTTATTGCCAAGTAGGTTTTCACACACGGAATTTGCTTTGGTAGTTGGTGCATAACAAGTTAGACAAAAATCGATAAAATTACTTTATTGTAGTGATCTAGAGAGAGAATACATTAAAAGCGTGTCAGACTAGTATCCAGGTGCTAGTCCATGGAGTGATTTGAACACCAATAAAAGGATCTAAAATGTATTTTGCAGCCAATGTCGGGACTTTAAGATCAGATGAGATATCTTTATTGTCTGTCACAGGGTAACAGAACACTTCTTTTGACAAGGCTCAACATTAAAACAGTAATACACATTTAAACCCATCTAGAAACACACACACATTCCAGATAGATCTAAAAGACTGTTAAAAAATTACCATGGACAAAACATTGACATTGTTAAACAGATTAAAGTACTGTGTCTATTTTGTTTCTTCTTAATGGCAGTAACTGGAAGGACTGCGGTAATGGGGTGAACAGGTGAGATGTGTGCTGCTGCATTCTGAATGATCTGTAGCTTAGTTGTAGCTTTCTTAGGTTGACCAGAAAGGAGAGCATTACGGAGTCCAGCCTGCTAGTAATAAAAAGCATGCGTTAGTCTGTCAGTCTGTATCTGCCTGGGAGAGAAACAGTTGCACTTTAACAATATTTCTAAGAGTGAGACTGATGTGAGATTCAAAAGTGAAATCAGGCACTAGAATATTTGCCAAGATTTTCTGCTAGGGATTATAAATTAGTGCACAGTATCTCTGGATCTTTGCTCCGATAATTAAACTTACAGTCTTATCTTTGTTCAATTACATGATATTCCCAGTGGCAGCTTATAGAGGCTGAACAACAGAAGTCCCAGAATGGAGCTTTGAGGGACCCCACACGTGTTAGCCGAGAAGTGGTCACCAAGGAAACCAAAAAAATGTCCTAAACCAATCTAAAACTGAGCCAGAGAGGCCAAAACATTATTGTAATCTGTTAAAAAGGATGTGATGATCGACTATCAGAAGCACAGGCTGTTTAAAAGAAGTGGACGTAGCTGGCATACCGTCACGCATTGGTTTGTAGACTACCATTTTGAAGCCTGGAGTCTGACATTTTGGCCGTTTCCATCTGTTTTTTTTTTAACCAGAATCAACTATAATCAGACAAGAGGAAGAAGCTAGCAAACTAGGTTAGCAATGTGCATCCATAACTTACAATGACAGTCACAATACAGTGATATTAATTGGGATGCTAATTAGTGCTAGCGAAAAACAGGCTTAGACAAAATGTACTTACCAGAGAAAAAGGCCGACTCCTTTGAGTGTTTTTTAGTACAGCCGAATGCTGAACAAGGCATCATTAGGCGACCAAAATGTTACAGTTAGTGACTTACTTTCATGCATTGGAAACACACATACAGCACATAAAAACAATTTCACAGCTAGTGAAATGTACACTGTGCGGAGGATATGATTTGCATCTAACCTGATTGACAAGTTGCCGTGGTAGAGACTTGTCAATCACAATGTAGCCACGGCCTAAAGTATACCCTGCTTTATCATCTATTTCCTCCCCTGAAGATTTTAAGTGAGAAGTAGGGTAATTTTGTCATAGACTCCACTCTTCAGACCTTGAGGTTGCCACTTAATCAAAAGCAGTATTATGTCTTGAAGTACTAATATTGAGAGTTCCTTGTCATCCATGTTCATCGTGTGTGTCATTTTTGCTTTACAACTCATTTCAGCTTCATTCTTTGACATTATTAATGTTTTTCTGGGAATGTATTTCACCTCTTACCTTCTTTAGGTCATGCAGTTCAGCTGCCAAATATTTCAACTTGCAGGTTTTTCAGCAGTGCAGTGCTATGCATTTGGGCTTTAAGATCGTTTGATTTTACAGTTTTTTTTAGTTGTGAACAACTCTCACACAACACACAGCCCTCAACATCATTAAAATGGCTATTTACTGAAGTATGGAACTGGGATTCTACTACTGTTTTTAGGTCTTTCAGCTGTAGTGATATATTTGTGCCACTAGAAGGCAGTCTAGTCTAACATACAGTGGATACAAAAAGTCTACACACCCCTGTTAAAATGCCAGGTTCTTATGATGTAAAATAATGAGACAAAGATAAATCATGTCAGAACCTTTTCCACCTTTAATGTGACCTGTAATGTGAATAATTCAATAGAAAAACAAACTGAAATCTTCAAGGGGGAAAAATTAAAAATAAATACTTTATAATAACCTGGTTGCATAAGTGTGCACACCCTCTTATATGTGGCTGTGTTCAGAATTAATCACATCACATTCAAACTCAGGTTAACTAGAAGTCATTACACACCTGCCATCATTTAAAGTGACTCTGATTAATCACAAATAAAGTTCAGCTGTTCTAGGAGGATTTTCCTGAGATATTCTTAGTTGCATCTCCGAGCGAAAGCCACGGATCACAGAGAGCTTTCAAAGCATCAGAGAGGATGCACATCACCCAAGGAACAGCATACCCACAGTGAAGCATGGTGGTGGCAGAATTATGCTTTTGGGGCTGTTTCTCTTCAGCCTTAGTCAGGGTGGAGGGAATTATGAACAGTTCCAAATACCAGGCAGTTTTGGCACAAAACCTTCAGGCGTCGGTTAGAAAGATGAAGAGGAAGTTCACCTTTCAGCACGACAACGACCCATAGCACACATCCAAATCCACAAAAGCATGGCTTCACCAGAAGAAGATAAATTTTCCGGAATGGCCCAGCCAGAGCCCAGACCTGAATCCAACTGAACATCTGTGGGGTGATCTGAAGAGGGCTGTGCACAGGCGACGTCCTCGCAATCTGACAGATTTGGAGCGCTTTTGAAAAGAAGAGTGGGCAAATATTGCCACGTCAAGATGTGCCATGCTAATAGACTCCTACCCAAAAAGACTGACTGCTGTAATAAAATCAAAAGGTGCTTCAACAAAGTATTAGTCTAAGGGTGTGCACACTTATGCAACCAGGTTATTTGAGGGGTTTTATTTTTCATTTTTCCCCCTCGAAGATTTTTGTTTTTCAATTGAAGTGTTCACATTATAGGTCACATTAAAGGTGGAAGAAGTTCTGACATGATTTATCTTTGTCTCATTATTTTACATCATAAGAACCTGGCATTTTAACAGGGGTGTGTAGACTTTTTCTGTCCACTGTAAATTAAACTACATTTAGCTTTTACATGCACCTAGTCCACATAGCAGACATTTCCAAGTCATTTTTTATTTCGAATATAGCTAAATGTTCCTGCTGCTTGTTGGTTGTAGTTAATGTGGACAATTTATCAAATGAGTCACATTCTTGTAATCATCAAGAATCAGTCATTTTAGGGTGGAATCGGGTAAATGTCTAAACTAGAAAATGACTGGCAAACATTTTTGCAAATGTTGTACTGCAAGGCAAAGAACCATAAGCTCATGAATACTAAAGCTCTGAATAATTCATGTTTACCATCAGTCACTGACAACAACACAGATTTACAAAGTATACTTACATTTTATTTCAAAATCATCTAAAGGTTTGTTCATTTCTTTCACATCATATACTGCTAAAATACATTTCGGCTACATACAGCTTATTCAACAAATATAAAGGCCTGCTACTCCATGGAAACCTATTGGAAATATGTATTTATAACAGCACATGTCTTTCTCTAAAATGCACAGTCACAGAGAAATATTTCAGCACTAGATCTAAGTCATTGACAGAGTAAGCAGTGCATATGTATGTCGCCATAAGAAAATATTTTATTTTGTTCAACATGTTTTAAAAACATAACCTGGGTCTCTTAACAATTGTGCACATATTGTGCATCATATTGTACAGATGCAATACAGCTGCTAGTTTAGGTAAAGACCCATAACTTGGGTTTGTTACCAAATACAAGTCACCAGCTAGATTCAGATTTTTGAAGAACGCTCATACTCAAACACATTCACTAAATGCACACACTCTCTTATCCAACAAAAAAGTTTTTTTAAGGGAAAGACCCACATTAGCATTATGTGTTCAACTTAAAGAATTTCACGAGATTTCCCACTGTATTTGTAGACGAAAATAATTTTGTACCAAAGTGAGAATAAACAAAAAGGTTTGCAGCATGTAACTTCATTTATGACTCCTACAGAAAGTGTAATACATGACTGTACAGTATATAGGGAGATTATTCTGAAAAGTTCAA